GGGGGGACGAATTCCAACGGAACTCACTGAACGCACAAGCTCCCCCGCCTCCCACACATACCCACTTCCCTCTCTCCGAGAGGCATCTTCTTCTCTGACCCCCCCCCCAACAGCCCCCCCCAAAAAATAGACCCCTCCCCTCCAGGACAGACCCCACCCCTCTCCGACAGACCCCCTTCCCCCCTCTCCGAACAGATCATCCCCCCCTCTCCGACAGAGATTTCCTTCTCCGACAGACCCCTCCCTTCTCTCCAACCACCACCCCTTTCTCCGACAGACCCCCCCCCCCTAGAATAGCAGCACAAGCAGCAGCAGCAGCAACATTAGACTCCCCCTCTGTTTCTTGACAAGTGTTTTCCTCTCTCTTACAAATTTCTTCCCCCCGACATAACCCCCCTCCAGGACAGACACTCCCTCCCCCGGCCCCCCCTCCCCACACAGACCTCTCCCGGTTCCACAAACCCGTCCCCCGTCCTCTCCGGCCCCCCCTCTCTTCTCCGACACACTTGCTCTCCATTTCTCCGATAGACTCCCCCCCCCTCTTCCCCTCCCCCCTACACCGACGTCTCGCACTTTTACACACACGCCCCTCCAGGACAACCCCCCCCCTTTCCGACATATCCCTTTGCCGCTCTGCCGCTTTCTCTCCTACACCCCCCCCTCCAAGACAGACCCCCCCTTCCGACATATCCCTTTCCGCTCCTCGGTTTTCTCTCCAACCTGTCCCGTGAACGGTGAACGGGACCCAGTCCCCTGCCGGTCGTCTAGTGCCGTCATCATAGGCAACCAGAGGGGCCATCATAGGCACCTCGCACCCAATTCGGCGCCATCAGCAAGGCTCGTTTTGGGAAGAAGGACCATCATAGGCCTTCGCGCTCGATCTGTTCATTGAACTCAACTGTCTCGTCATCATCCTCCTCTTCCTCCCTGTCCTCCTCCTCCTCCTGGTCCGCCCTTGCCCTCCCCCCCCCTGGTGAGGACCATCATAGGCATTACCGGTGAGGACCACCATGAGGCCTCACACCCCTTGCAGTTTCCATCACCGGAACTGCGGGGGTCGAACCAAATCCCCACAAACCTGGCGCCGTACGTGCAGTGCCAGGGGCGGCGGCCCGTCTTCCCATCTTACCATCATAGGAGGATGCGAAGTCCCTGAAGTCGGGACGGGGTGGGCACGAGCGGGCATCATAGCCGGCTCAAAATCAAAAGAGGCATCATAGCCTCATCAGTCTAGATTGATCCACTCACGGATCCACTGCGATTTATCTCCATTGAATTCATTCCATGCGTAGCATGCTCACCCCCCCGCTCTCACGGACACCCCCCCCCACTCCGACAGACTCACCCCCTCTCCAGGACAGACCTCACATCTCCGAGAAATCTCTTTCCTCCTTTCCGACAGAGCCTCTCTCCTGTCCTGAACAGACGCCGCCCTCTCGCCCACACTCCCCCAGCCCCTTCGACAACCCCCCCCCCAACAGCAGACCCCCCCTCAACCCTTCCCACATATCCCTTTTCCGCTCTCCCGTTTTCTCTCCTACAGACCCCCCCCCGCTCTCACAGACACCCCCCCACACTCCGACCGACTCCTCCCTCTCCAGGACGGACACCACCTCTCCGAGAAATCTCCATCTGTCCGACAAAGCCTCTCTCCTGTCCTGGACAGACGCCGCCCTCTCTCCCACACTTCCCCCTCATTTCGACAGACCCCTCCCCTCCCCCAACAAGAGCAGTTCAAGCAGCAGCAGCAGCAGCATCAGCAGCAGCACCAACAGCAGAACGAGCAGCATCAGCAGCACTACACGCGCACAGCCACAGACGCATCCCGAACGGCCCGCGACGACTCGCAGGCATACTTTTAGGACAGACCCCACCCCCGCCGACAGATTTCTTCCCTCCTCCCCGACAGCCCCCCCCCCCCCACCCATCCAGGACAGACCCCCCCCCTCCGACTGACCCCTCCCCACAAAGCAGCACAAGCAGCAGCAGCATCAGCGACAGCTTCAACTGCAGCACGAGCAGCATCAGCAACATTACCATCGCACTTCCACAGACGCGCCCCAGACGGCCCGCGACGACTCGCAGGCACACCTCTCCTGTTTCAGATCAGATCGCCCCCTCCCCGACCGATCTCTCCCCCCCTCTTCGACAGACCCCCTGGCCTCCAAGACAGACCCCTCCCCCCGCCATCCCGCACCCACCTCCGAGATGTTCCAAGATGGCCTCATATGCATCAACATGAATCCGAAGATGCTTCAAGAGACCCCGAGACCGCCCCAAGACGGCTCCAGACACCAAAGAGCTTCCCAAGGAACAGTCCAAGAAAACAACATGATTCGAAAACCTATGGAACACTAATGACTTCTGCCCATCGCCTTTTCCCTTCCGATGACCATCCGAGGCCTCAGGATGCCTCCAGAAGATCCTCAGAGGGACCCAAGAGCGCCCAGAAGAGAAGCCCAAGAGAGCCCCAATGCCACCCTAAGAGGGACCCCCCACGGTCACAGACACCCCCGCCCACTCCGACAAATCCCCTTCCTACAGGACAGAAGACCTCACCTCTCCGCGAAATCTTCTTCCTTCGTTCCGACAGAGCCTCTCTCCTGTCCTGCACAGACCCCGCCCTCTCTCCGGCAATCCCCCCCCCTCTCCTTCCTTCTTTCCGACTGACCTCTCTCCCCTCCCACAACCCCCCCCCTTCGACAGACCCCCCCCCAACAAGACCAGCACAAGCAGCAGCAGCAGCAGCAGCAGCATCAGCAACAACACCAACAGCAGAACGAGCAGCATCAGCAGCATTACTCGCGCACGGCCACAGACGCATCATCATCATCATCAGCATCAGCATCAACATCAGCATCAGCATCAGCATCAGCATCAGCATCATCATCATCATCATCATCATCATCATCATCATCATCATCATCATCAGCAGCAGCATCATCATCATCATCATCATCATCATCATCATCAACATCAGCATCATCATCACCACCATCATCATCAACATCATCCCCCGGAAAGCCCCGGATCGGCGGCACTGGCCGGAGGCCACTACAATCAAAAGGTACAGATACCGCCCCAGTGAAGGCACGCCGACACGGATCCTTCCACAAGAAACCCAACCCTGAGACCCTCAGGACGCCCATGTATTCTTGGTGTGGGCACGTCACGCTTTCCATTGCAAACCATCGAAACCCAAGAAACCATGGGCACCCTGGAGGCAAGCAGGGTGTTTCTTGGCATGGGCCCCCACTGTATTTCCCGGACCTTTCCCAGGGCGCGTTCTGACCAGGATCACGAGGCGAAAATCTAGCCGTGGCGAGGGCCGCCCAGGAGGTCCCCCAAAGTGGAAAACCAGGGGCGGTTGCTGGCACGGGTGCAGTCGACCCGTATCATGAGGAGAAACGGTGAGGATGCAAGGGCCTTGGAGGGCCATGCTAATGTTATTCAAGCGAGGCTGGCCAGCGAAAGTCGCCAATTGAGGATGGGCAGACGGGCCAAGGATGCAAGGATACCCTTGGGAAGGTTGCCCATCCTCACTAAGCGGATTGACTGTAGGGCTTGGGGGTCAGGTCTACAAAGCACACCAAACGAAGGTCGAGGGTCGCAACCAACCTGTTCGGTCAAGCTGAAATGGATGCACCACACCTGGCGTCAAACCTGAACTTTGGACAACAAGGAACGGTTGGATGTTGCACACCTTTGTCAGCTGAACTGGCCAGGCGTTTGACCATCTTGACGTCCCTAGTCCTGCAGAGGAAGACGCTCTCTGACCCTCGGCCCTACTCTAATTAGAATGACTATCATGAGATGATTTTCTCGAGCCAACAATGCCCAGAGTGACCAACAATGCCCAAAAAGTGCTCCACCAAGTGCCCGCAAACGTTCGCAGACGTTCGCGCAGTGCCCCACATAGCGCCCCCTGACAGCAATGAAAACCAGCAGGTGCAAAATACAACAGTAAGCAACAACAGTCGCTGATGCAACTGCTACCAAAGTTGCCATTATCATTACAGTTTCTCGTGATCGCACCCTATCGTAGTCATCGTCCTCCTCCCCTCCTCGTCATCCTTCTCCTCCGCATCGCCCTCCTGCCCCATCCCCCTCCTCCCGCTCCACCATACCCCGCTCCCCTCCTCTTCCTCATCCTTCCCCCCTCTCTTCTTCCCCACCCTCCTCCACCCCCTCCTCATTCCGCCTCGTCCGACTTGTCCGAGTGCGATTCCGCATCCTGTCCCATTTCTCCTCCTCCTCCTCCTCCTCCTCCTCCTCCTCCTCCTCCTCCTCTGGTGCGTCCGCCTGCTCCTCCACCTCCTCTTCATCGTCCTCCCCCTCCTCCTCCTCCTCCTCCTTTCTGTTGTTGGGCACGTTTGAAACACTTTGCTCGAATTCGCGAGATTTTCCACGCGCTGGAAGCACACTGGCCGCTTGCAAAACATCTGGGAACAATACCCAAGGCACCGTGGGGACTTTTTAGTTGCTAGCACTCTACGGACGTTTGCAAGAACTTTGGAAACACGTCTGGGATATTCTGGGCACCTTTGAACATGCTTACCCCGAAGGTGGAAACATGCTCTTGGCCTCACATGATGCGCGGAGTCTCCCAGACATCGGAAGACGTTTCGCAAGGAGCTGACGAGCCCGTGGCCACTTGTACATATGCATGTGGCCCTGCGTCATTGCATGCCTTATCGACGACCCTCATCGGGCTGGGCTCAGATGAGGCAGCCTAGGTGGCCTGATACGGTACACACTTTTGATGCTGATACTCGAATGATGAAATACCCGCCATCACATGTCAGAACTACTCACGTGAAAAACCATGTGGAATGTCCGTCGGCAGTCACATCACGCGTATCACACCAGCGTGCACTATGCACGGTTACAAATTTTCATCATCTGTCTAACCATCATCATGTGACAACAATTTCGGCACACACACACCTTGGACGATTCGTGCCCCAAAAGCCTCCGACATATCGCGAAGATGGCCCATTCAAGCTGCCAGCAGCAAGCTCCCATATCGAAATATCCGCGAACGCACGCATGGTTGAACAACGGGCCTTCTCAGGCTGGTCCCGATATTCGGTTTGACGGCTGCCCCATCTCTTTGACCCACCGCATGCTCCCACGCTTCCCACACTGATGCAATTCGAATGGACATCGTTACTGGGCGGGTGGGGATGCGCGACGCGGCAAGAAACAATTTAGGCCCAGAAAGCCCCCAGGAAAATACAAGGGCGCCTAACTTCGTGCGTCGCGTTGCGCGAAGCGCGAATCACTTCGCGCCCTGGAGGGCGCCATGAAAGCTACCGGTGGGGAATGCCGAAACACGTCAAAGGCATGTGACTAAGACACCAACAATGTTGGGACCTCGGGAGCCCCAGTCGTCTGAGCAACACTAGAAAAACGACCCGCGTCCCAAAACCTTGCTGTCACCCCGACTCCCCAGAGAGTCACCACCCAGCCTGGCAACCGTACCGCTTGTTGGCGGCGCGCAGACGGGGGGCAGAGGGTACAGGCAGGGGTCAAGTTAGCCAGTTCGAACGAGCCCGAAAGCCCCGTCCACTCCCACCCGCCCTCCCGCAACATGAGAAGCAAGTGCGTCGCGTCCGACGCCTGTCGCTCATCTTATATCTTGGGCGGCTAGACGTTCAGCGCGCGACATGAGCTGCGTCCTATTCCTGCCGCGTATAGAGCAACGTCGACGAGAAACAGGACCGCGCGCGATGTACGCCGCGCCCTGCTCCGGCCTCTCATGTTGCATCGTCGGCGACCAGACGTCCAGCGCGCGAAGTGCGCCGCGTCTCATTCCAGCCGTGCGTGTTGCACCGCCAATCGTTTCGCCCCTGCCGCGCATGGAGGAGGGGGAGGAGGACCAGGAGGAGGAGGAGGAGGGGAGGGAAAGAGGGAGGGAGGGAACAACTCAGGAGGAAGAAGAGAATGCATTTTGGGAATTCGCGGGGCGTCCCATTCCCGCTACGCGATTCGCAGCACCGACGAGGAGAAAGTACAAATTGGCAAACAAAACGTCGACATTGCGGTGGTTTTTTGGCAGGTAAGGCTGGGGGTCCCGCGTAGGGTTGGCCAGGCGTCCGCGCGCAATGCGCACCGCGTCCCACTCCTGCTAAACAGCTCGCAACGTCGACGACAAGAAAGTCCATGTTGTCGAGCAAAACGTTGACATTGTACTGTTTTGTGTGAGGTAGGACGCGACCGCCCGCTTAGGGTTACCCATGCGATGTTCATTCCGTCCCATTCGTGCTACGCTTGTCGCAGCGTCGACGACAAGAAAGTCCATGTTGCCGAGCAAAACGTTAACTTTGCATTGTGTTTTGATAGGTCGGGCGCGACCACCCGCTTAGGATTACCCAAACGATGTTCGTTCCGTCTTATTCCTGCTACACTTTTCGCAATTCGACGACATGCTCGCGAAACAAAATTGAATCCGTATTGTTTTTGTCGGACGGCGGGGTTGCTATCGGCCGGCTAGGTGTGGGTTTGGGGGTGTTTCATCATAGTAAGTAAGGATGTGAAGGCGTCTTAGGAGGAGGTTACTTCTTAGGAGGCGCAAGCTTTACCTCTGCAGATAAGGCCCGCGCCTTCTAAGAATCGGGGGCGCGCAAATCCATGGATTTGGTGCGCGGTCGCCAAGTCCATGGATCGGGGAAGTGCCCTCCCCAAAATGCGGCCAGTGCCGCCTCGTTCGGCGGCGTGAACCCACGATCCCCCTATGGAAACGGGGCCCGTCGCTAATCCACGCCCCCTTGATCCATGTTTGCGATCGCCTTCTAAGAAGCAGGGGTGCTTCTCGGAAGCCCCCCCCTTCCCCCGTGCCCTCCTCTGCCCGAGCATCTTCTCAAGGTGGAGGGCTCGGGGTGACATCCGCATGGGCTTACGCACCTCGACAATCAATCCGTCTTGTGATTCACCTTTTGAAGACTCAGGCCTCGAACATCCATCGAAACGGCATGTCAGATCTCGGGAATCCATCGAAATCCATCGAACGTCCATTGGAATCCATAGAAAATCCATCGAACATCCATCAAAACGGCATCGAATCCTCGAAGGCTTTTGCCCTCCACCCAAAGAAAATGCTCGGTCCGCGAGTGGCCGAGCTCGAAAGGCCCCCGACGGACAGCCAGCCGGGGCCCGCACGCACCGCAATTCCTTGGCGCGGGGACGGAGGGCACGGGCCCCCCCCCCGCCCGCTCGAAGCAGCGGAGCACCCGAGCAGCCCCGAGCTGCGCCGACGACGGCCCGATGGCGCGGGGCCGAGGGGCGCCACATTCCCCAGACGAGGGCGGAACGATACAGCCAACCCGTATCACCAGGATGTGCGGCAGGGGCGCGAGGGCCCTGGAGGCCCATGCGAGCCTTTATGTTCCTCTTCGGCGCGTCTCGACAGTGGGCGGGAGGGGAGGGGAGGGGAGGGGAGGGGAGGGGAGGGGGGGGAGGGGAGGGGAGGGTGTGTGTGTGTGTGAGTGTCTGGCTCAGGACCTATGCTTCGTGCGACTGTTTGGAGCAGTGCGTCCTGTGGGGAAGACCTCACCTGCCCGAAACAGGCGCCAAAAACAGCCAAGATCTACTCCATTTGAGGGGGGGGGTTGGCGAAGGGGCGAAGGCCCGCGCCGATCGGCAAAACGACGAATAACAACATGAGTTCCGTGTTAACGTTGTTCCAACGAGGTTGGCCAGGGAACCTCCTCCTCCTCCTCCTCCTCCTCCTCCTCCTCCTCCTCCTCCTCCCCTAACGTTGCCCCTGCAAAACTGCGACCTGGAAGGAGGCATCGCCCTTGGCGCGATCGCTGCGCTCCCGGCTGCTCTGACTGCTCCGGGCCCGTGCGGCGGCGCAAGGGGGGGGGGAGGACAGCCGAGCACGAGGGACGAGGAGCCGCACGAGGAAAACTGCGGGGCTGGAGGAGGAGGAGGAGGAGGAGGAGGAGGGGGAGGAGAAAGGAGAGAGGAGAGATGCCAGGATGAGGAGCACCAGGCGGAGGATCAAGAGGACAGGGATCGCGCCCCCCACACAGTGCTTCTCGTTTTCGCTGTGGCTTCGTTTCTCCTCGTGTTGCATTCGACCCGCCTCTACTGTAAAAAGAGACCGAAACGAAAGCGGTCCACGAACATCGCCACAACACCGTTCTGGCCGAGGAGGGGGGGGAGGGGGGAGGAGGAGGGAGGACGGAGGAGGGAGGAGGGAGGCCAGGAGGAGGAGCAAGAGGATGAGGAGGAGCTGTCGTGAGCAAGAGAGCGCGCCGGCGGCCGTCCATCGGCGCCATGGGAACACCCTGCGCTGACATTACGAGGGCCGGGCACGCCGCGACCTCCCTCCCTTCTCATCGTTCGCGCTCATCCACTCACGTGATGAACCCCACCCTCCTCTTTCCTTCTCCCGTTATTCGACCCGCTCTCGTTCGCTTCCTCATTCTCCTCCTCCTCCGCCTTCTCCACCTCCTCCTCCTCCTGCTTCTGCACCTCCTCTCGCTGCAGGGCCAACTAGCCTTGCTCCTATGCACGTTCTCCTCCTCACGCTGTTCCTGGTAATGCTCCTCATCGGTGACGTCGTGGCACACTTGTTCCTGCTGTTCGTTTCACACATCGTAAAAAGGCGAACGTGCTCGTCGCCAACCGCTGACATGGACACCGCAATTCTGAAAACCACCCGACCTCCGTGTGGTCACGAATTGTGGTGCAATTTCGGGCGAGCCTCTCCCCCGCCTCTTGCCGTAGGACTGCACACATTCGATCTAAATGTGCACAACTTTCAACTGGCGGATTGATTTCAAATGCGTTCACCTTAGCCCCGCCCACAATGCCTCTAAATGCAACGTTCGCAGAAACACGGTGAAACATGTGCTGCGTGTTTCAACGTTGATTTGACGTCCAGCGCGGCGAGGATTATCTACACGAGCTTGCATCAAGTAGTTGAATGGGAGGGCCGCTTGCTTAAGACTCCAACGAGGCTCTGCCTGGAGACTCTCCCATCACGCGTTGCCACAAAACTTTTCAATGTTCATCGGCCATAATCGTACACGTGCGCACGGTGCTAATACATGTGTGGCGCGCTGGTTCCTGTCCAAGCATGGACTTCTCTGAAGTTGTCTCATCGTTCCTAACACAAGGCCTGCAACTCAGGCCTCCCCGTTCTTCTGACACAACAAACTCGGTATCATGAGGAGCCCCACCTCTTCTTGGGGTGCGGTTCTAGGGCCCCCGACCGTGCGCTGTGTGCAGAGACCCAGGGATCTGCTGGCGCAGGCCAGAAAAGCTCTGGACGCCTCCCAAACGTCAATCTGTGCAGGTGCTTCATCCCGGATCGAACGGCCGCCCAGAGACCGGACCTAAGAAAAGACTCGAATAGCGCTGGAGGGTCAGTTTTGTGGCACACCCCTAACGTCAAGGGGCGGAACCAATATGTTCGGTCAAGCTGAAATTGGTGCATCACACCCGGCGTCAAGCCAAAACTTTGGACATATTGCGACGCGAATGGTTGAATGTTGCACATCTTCGCCGGCTGAACCGGCGATGCGTTGGACCACCTTGCCGTGCCCGTTTTGGTGGTCCTGCAGAGGAAGGCGCTCTCTGACCCTCGGCCCTACTCAAGAAGAAACCTCCTCCTTCCTCCTCCCCCTCCCCCTCCCCCTCCCCCTCCTCCTCCCCCTCCCCCTCCTCCTCCTCCTCCTCCTCCTCCTCGTCCTCCTCCTCCTCCTCCTCCTCCTCCCCCTCCTCGGCCCCACTCAAGAAGAAGTCTCGAGCCTCGGCACCTCCATCCTCGCGCGATTCGCCTGACCATTGACGCGCCCCGTGCGTGGCCCTCCCTCGCGGCGGACCTCGCTGCTCCCCCCCCCGCCCCCGCAACTTCCTCACGGCAGCCAGCTCCCGCTGCCGAGGGGGCGAGAGGCGAGCGCAGGCAGGAAGAGGAGGAGGAGGAGGAGGAGGATGATATGGGGCGGATCTGGAGGAGGAGAAGGAGGTGGCGGAAGATGATGATGATGATGATGATGATGATGATGTTGATGATGAGGAGGAGGAGGAGGAGGAGGAGGAGGAGGAGGAGGAGGAGGATGGGGTTCTCGGGAGACTTCTCGCAGCTTCTGGGCCCCTAAGGGCCCTCCGCTGGCTCTGGGGCCGTCCGCAATTTCTCAGGGCGAACGGCCGCTCCTGGGGCCCCGGGGCCTCCTTTCCCTCAGGACCCGTGCATTTCACGGCTCACAGGGCGTGTACACCACCAAAAGAGGGAGAGATGAAGAGGGAAGGCAGAGCGAAGGGAAGTGGGCGATGGTGAGGAACGGGGGTGCTCAAGGGCGGGGTTCGCTAATCATGGCCCGAAGCATGTGCGCGCAGGAGGAGGAGGCGGAGGAGGAGGAGGCGGAGGAGGCGGAGGAGGCGGAGGAGGAGGAGGAGAAGGAGGAGAAAGGGGAGGAGGAGGAGGAGAAGGAGGAAGAGGAGGAGGAGGAGGTGGGGACCAGGGGACGTTTTGAAATAAAAAGGGGCCATGAAATCTGGGGCATGGTATCCACCCCCATCCCTAGTCCTCACTTCTCCTCAATGGCCGCCCCCGAAGGAGAGAGGGAGGCGAGGTGAGGCGCGTGCCCCAGAGCCCGTCTGAATGACCACCTTCGGACGAGCTGCTGCAGCAAGGAGTCAAGGAGGAGGACGATGTGGAGGAGGAGGGGGAGGTATTTTCTAACAGCGCGACACACGGACAAACAGCTCCTTGTCAAAGTCAGCACAGAGCGCCAGGCCATGCGCATGCAAGATAGGTGGAGGAGGAGAAGGATTTGTTCACCTGCACAAAATTCCCCACCAAAACGAATCACTCGCGGGCAAGTCATCTGCCGCCACCGAGACGCCTTCACCTCTCTCGGGCAACAGCCTCTCGAAATGCGAGACCGACCAGGAAGCGAGGCGGGGATCTATCCACAATCACCGCCTGGGGGATCGAGCCGCGAGGACATGGGCAGGCGTCGGCTACATGGACACACTAGAGCCCCCCGGGGCCCAAACATGTGCACATCCGCCGCAAGCTGAGCCCCCAGAGGCTCGATCACCTGGGCAGTGGTTCACGAGAAAACGCTTAGGAGATCCCAGAGTGGAATCGATCAGTCGGCTCGGCGAACGAAATGAGTTGGATCGGGGGAAATCGCCAACCAAGTCGGGAATCATAGAATCGGCAGCAGGTGGCAGCCAAATGGGGAGAAATCGGAACGGCGAGAATCGGCAGGCCAGAAAGAAGGCCTCCACTGAGAAACCCAAATCCAGATCGAAATCCGAAGCCAAATCGAGCCGCGATCGGCATCGACCGACCTCGAATCGCATCGAGTCGGAGGAGCCGAAGTGAGTCCCGAACCGCCCACTCGAGACAACGAAAAACCTCCGGCGACCGATCTTGACGGCGTCGCCCGAGCGGCCTCCTCCCACCCGCCGCCCTCAAAGGCCTCGCACAAATTCCCTTCCCCCCCGCATCTCTCCCGCTACCCCTCCCCGTCCTCCTCCTCCTCCTCATCCTCCGCCTCCTCCTCCTCCTACTCCTCCTAGTCCTCCTCCTTCTCCTCCTCCTCCTCCTCCTCCTCCTCCTCCTCCTCCTCCTAGTCCTCCTCTTCCTCCTCCTCCTCCTCCTCCTCGTTCTCCTCGTTATCCTCCTCCTCCTCCTACTCCTCCTCTTCTTCCTCCTCCTCCTCCTACTCCTCCTCGTCCTCCTCCTCCTCCTCCTCCTCGTTCTCCTCCTCCTCCTCCTCCTCCTCTCCTCCTCCTCCTCCCTCCTCCTCCTCCTCCTCCTCCTCCTCCTGATCGTCCTCCACCTCCTCATCCTCCTCCTCCTCCTCACCTCCTCTTTCCTCCTCCTCCTCCTCCCCCTTCCCCTCCCCCTCCCCCTCCCTCCCTCCTCCTCCTCCTCCTCCTCCTCCTCCTCCTCCTCCTCCTCCTCCTCCTCCTCCTCCTCCTCCTCCTCCTCCTCCTCCTCCTCCTCCTCCTCCTCCTCCTCCTCCTCCTCCCCCTCGTGGCCCAGGGCGTCTGGCCTCGCCAATGCATGGCGGTGGTGGCGGCATCGGTTCCGAAGCCTGCCGGGGGCGACAGGGCGCTGGGCATGATTGCCCTGATGCCCAAGATATGGAGCAAAGCTCGAGGCGGTATCGTGGACAACTGGACAGAGCAGCTCGGGGCATTCTGGGACGGCGCCCTGCGAAGGTGCTCTGCGCTCAGGGCTGCGCTGTACCGTGCCCTGCTCGACGAGGTGGGCAGGGAGATGCAGCTGGCGTCGGCCACTCTCCTCCTCGACCTCCAGACCTTCTACGACACGATCAGCCTGGCGCTGCTCATGGAGCTGGCAGTGCAGGTGAAGTACCCTGCCATCGTCGTGGCCATGGAGGTGGAGCTCTTCTTGGGCCCTCGCATCCTGAAGGACCAGCGCCACGGCATCAGCGAGCTGGTCTGGCCGACGCGCTCGGTGGTGGCGGGGTCGGCGAGGGGGGTATCCCTGGCCAAGGTGTTCATCCACGGGGTGCTGGAAAAGGCCCACCAGGTGGCCCCGCAGGCGTCCCTCTGGACATTCGTGGACGACACGACGGCCCGGTGCGAGGGATCTCGTCAGATGGTGAAGCAGGAGATGAAGCAGGTGGCGACCCAGTTCGTGGAGGGCTTCGTCGAGGAGCGAGGCCTGATCATCTCGAACAAGACCAAGCTGCTGGCGTCGGACACGCAGCTGGGCCGAGAGCTACAGGCGGAACTGGAGTCGCCTGCTCTGCCGCTGCAGTTGGCGCTAGACGCCACTGACCTGGGCGGCGACGCGG